TCTCTTTTGTGTATTCCTTAACTATTTATTGTGGGTATAATTTTACTACATTTGTTTTTTAACCTTTCTACTAGCTTTATAAATGGTTGATTTATTACTTTTACTGCATATTTGCCTTTTCCAATGAGATTTTTCCTTGTACACTTTTCATATTTCTAGTTGTGACCTTTTCTTTTTGCTTAGATAAGTCCCTTTAACATTTCTTATAAAGCCATTTAGTGGTGCTGAACTCTCTTAGTTTTTCTTGTCTCTAAAACTCATTATCTCTTTCAAATTTGAATTATAGCTTTGTTAGGTAGAGTATTCTTGGTTGTAGATTTTCTCCTTTAATCACTTTGAATATATCGTGCCATTCCCTTCTAGCCTGTAAGGTTTCTGCTGAAAAACCACTGATACACTTATGAGGTGTCCCTTGTACATAAGTAGTTGCTTTTCTCTTGTTGCTTTTAATATTCTGTATTTATCTTTATTTTTTGCTATTTTAATTACAATGTCTTGGTGTGGCCCTTTTTATCTTCATTTTCTTTGAGACTCTGTGCTTCTTGACCTGCATATCTGTGTCCTTTTGCAGGTTATGGAAGTTTTCAGCGACTATGTTTTCAAATAAGTTCTCTGTCCCTTTCTTCCTCTTTTCTCCTCTAAGACCTCTGTAACGTGAATATTACTGTGCTTGATGTTGTCTCAGAGATCTATTAAACAATTTTCATTTTATAAAATTCTTTTCTTTTCCTCTTTTCTTTTCAGCTAGAGTGATTCCCGCTGCTCTCTTCCAGTTTGCTGATCTGTTCCTCTGTACCATTTAATCTATTGTGATTCCTTCCACTGTGAATTTTATCTTTTTATTGAAGTATAGTATATTTTAAAATTTCAATTATTGTATTCTTCAGCTTGGTTTGGTTCTTTTTTATATCTCCTAACTCTGTTACACTTTTCAGTAGTGTGTTCCTCCATTCTTCTCCTGAATTCATTAAGCATCTTGATTATTACCTTGAAAACTTTATTGGGTAGATTGCTTATCTCCATTTTGTTTAATTTTTTTCCTACAGTTTTGTCTTATTCCTTTTTTGTACATATTTCTTTGTCTCCCCATTTTGACTACTGTGTTTATTTCTCTTTATATATAAAATTTCATAATATTCCCTGATTTTGGAGAAGTGGCCTTATGTAGGAAATGTCCTACGGGGCCCAGCAGCACTTTCTCCTTTGGTAACCAGAGCTATATGCCCCATCTGTGGGCTGTGTGGGCCCTTCTCTTGCGGTAGGGTCAGCTACTGTGGGTATGCTGGTAGGTGGGGCTGGGTTCTGCCCGCTAGGCCACCAGGCCCTGCTTCATATGCTGACTGCTGGCTCACTGGTGCGTTGGCCTGGGTCCCAGCACAGCTGGCTTCATCAGCCTGGGAGGGTCATTGGGATGGTGCTGTCCTGCTGGTGGTCTAGACCTGCTCCTGGGGCAGCTGACTGTGGGGTCTGGGGTGCTCTTAGAGTGGTGCTAGCCCGCTGGTTGATGTCTAAGACCCTGGAACTGATAGATTAGAATGAAAACTCTAAAATGGTGCTTGCAAGTGCCAGTGTCCTTATGGTAGAGTAAGTTCCCCCAAACAGCTGCCACCAGTATCTATGTCTCCAAGGTGAGTCCCAGTTCCCTTCTGCCTCTCTGGGAAGCTCTTCAAAATCAGCAAGTGGGTCTGATTCAGGCTCTTTTCAAATTACCACTTCTGCCCTGGATCTTTAGTGTGTGAGATTTGGTATGCATCCATTAAGAGCGGAGTCTCTATTTCCTACAGCACTCCAACTCTCCCATACGCAAGCCCTGCTGACCTTCAAAGCCAGGCGTCCTGAGGGCTAATCTTCCTGGTGCAGGACACTTTAGCTGGGCAGGACTAGTAATATGGGGCTTTTCCCCTTTGCTTCCTGGGGAAAACTTCTGCATTTGTGATTGCCTACACAGGGGTATCTTTCTTAACTATATATCATGTCTCCACCCTTCCTACCCAACACATTGTAGTTCCTTCTTTAGTTGTGGACAATCTTTCAACTATTCTTGAGGTTAGTTTTGTAGACAGTTGCTCTGTAAATAATTGTAATTTTGGTGTGCCCATGGCAAGATGTAAACTCAGGGTTTTCCTACTCCATCTTGGCCACACTTCTCCCGAAGTAGGATTCTTATATTCCTACACAACCCAACCATAAGTGAGCACTGTGTGAAAGTACAATCATTTTGGATTTTGTCCATGAGAATCCTATGTGTCAGATATGGACAACTGGGTAAAAAGTACTCTTCTTCAAGAAAAAGCAAACACTGCTTAAAATTTACCATTGCAAATAAGCAACATAAAAGGTAAAAGAAACCATATTGTTCAAGTAAAATAAATATTTTTTATGTCCAAAACATGATGTGTTTTTATTTTCATCTATTATTATTCTTTGTATTCTTGTGTTGACATTGAATTTCAGTCCTGGTTCATGCTTTAAAAAGCCTCTAATTCATCATCCAAGCCCTATGCCAGGTCAAATATGTTCAAACAACACAGTAACACATTCAGGGACTGCAGCAGAGCTGCTTCATGGGTTTGTAAATAAGGTACATTAAACATGAGCAGGAATAATGCTCATGGATAAAAATGTGACATAAAATACATAATAACTGGGATTCATTTAAGATGTTGATACCCAGCTGATGTCAGATTTCAAAGTATGGCAGCTTGCCCAAATTCTACAAAACCTCCCAGTCTTGCAGGGAGGTTTTTAAACCTTTTGAGTTGGAGACACATTTCTTACAGGAAAAACTAAATTCAGAGTCAGTGATTTGAATTCTTACTCTCAAAATAAGTGTCTAACTCATTAAACCCTACCCTCAAGAACATTGCAAACATGATTTATCTATTGTCTACCAGGTTTAGGCATTTTATTACCAGTTAGTTTATTCTACTACCATCTAAATTTTATTTTCCACCTTTCATAAATGCAAAGGAAACCATCAGACAGTTCTCAGCTCTTCAAACAGCTGACAACACAAACCAGGCCAGATATAAATATTTACTTTGCCAAAAGTAAATGTTTCCAAAATTCAAAACTCCAGTGCATTTGAAAATTGATTTGGATCAGGTACACTTTACTTAATTGAAAATATATATTTTAAATCACATAACAACAAAAAACACCAAAAAAGAATATAACTTCTGAGTGATTTTTAACTCCAGGCTATCATTCTCTTCTTTCCTAATACATTTTAGAGAGAAGCTGCTCGAATTAGTTTTTTTTTAAATTTTCTTTCACATCAAGATTTTTTTCTACGATAGTCTGATGGAAAGTGAAACTTATATAACCGTTATTTGTGTTAGCTTACTTCCTTTTCCATCCAACTCCTTATGTATGATTTACTTTAAAATGTTTCAAATTCTTGCCATACTCTTACAAAAAAGATCCAGTTCCTTAACATGGCCTCAGGATCTGGTCTCTGCCTTCTTCTTCTATTCTTATCTCCCTATCACATCCTCTTTGGTCTCTATGCTTCAGCTTTGCTGGCCATCTTTCAGGCAATTTCCGGAATTCAGGTACCAGTCTTCCTTCTAGTTTGTGTTTTTTCTCCCTACCATTTTTCCTTTTGCCTAGAATACAGTTATTCCCTCCATCACCATCTCCAAGAAAGAAAGAATGGCTGAATACTCAAAACTGCAACTTGTGCTTCTTGAATACTGGTCAGTGAATCTATACATGCTCATGACTTGACTTAAATGATTCACCCTTTTGGAGGGAGGTATATGTAGACTGCAAGTCAAGTTCCCTTTAAGGTTTGTAAAAGTAAAAGTGCAAATGAAACATTAAGTAAGGTAGGTTAGTTTTCTATGGAATCAGAGCAACAAACTACATGAGCTATATAGGACCTTTCTACAAACATGCTTCCTAAGTCACATTTAAAACAGTACACAAACACTACTTAGCTAAACAGTCTCAACCATGTGCAAAGTCCTTTAAATCTTGCCTTGTGACCTGAGTCAAAATCACTAGCAACACTTTGATGAGTCATTCTTTTTTTTTTCTTTTTTTGGTGAAAACTATGTGATAAGAAAAAAACATTCTAATATATCAGAAGGCAAAGAGATTACTTACAAACTTGTGGTGATTCAGGTGAACAAATTGCATAAGTAGAGTAGAGAGCAGAGCCCAAGGAGCTCAAACCCTGGAGAATCAGTTGCCCACAGCAGCAAAATTTATCCATAATTTTAACCCCAATTTCTTGCACACAGATGATTTTCCATTCCTCCTGGGTTCACAAAAGCTAAATCACCTTCAAACACAATTTTCTGTGTGTGTTTTTTTCCACCTTCAACAATCTACTCAACAGTAAAAAGTAGCCAAGACAAGTAGAGATAAATCACCAAGAGAAACTTAAGATTCCAGTGATGAGAAGACCCCATGGACATTATGCTCTTCCACAAATTAAGGAGGAGCTCATCATGGGGTAAGGACTGGGAGGCAGGGATGCTGGTGTGAGAACCTTAAAGCACAGTTCAGCATCTCTGTGCAGCTAGAATTCTTAGCCAGCAAGCCATAGGAAGATTAATTATTGATTTTCTTATAAATCATTTGTGATTTTTATTTGTTTTTCCTTCCAGGATGATACACGTTTGATTTTACTTTTGTTAATTTTTTTTTTTTTTACTTTGTTGGAATTAAAAAAAACCCAAAAAACAGTAAAGGGGTTTCTGAGAGGAAGAATTTTCCCAGCATGATATACAGGGGAGGCAACACTGTTTCCTGACTTTTCTTGGCTACCAAGGGGCAGGACATCAGGCAACCACCAGGGAGGGTTTGACCAGGTAGGCGGAAAAAGCACGATTTAGACATAATTATACTTGTTGGCAGTAGGCCTGAAGACTGCGATATTACTCTTGGGTGGAAAGAAACTCATCACAGACATGAAGGACTGGACGACTGGCTTCCAGAATCAGCATCTCCCCCTTCCTCAACTTCACAATGGAAGCAACATGGCTGCTTACCTTCCTGCCCCCAGTGTTGATGCGAAGGGGCGTCAGAAAGGGGTCGAAGATCATGTGACTGGTCTCTATGTTCACTGGAGACTGCCGTTTCCCCACAGAGCAAAGATTCCAAGCTGAGTTCACCAATCCCCAGAAAGAAGGAACTAGAAACAAAAAGAAGTTATAGAATCAGGCTGGGTGGAAGGCTGGGGAAATGATATAAAAAGAGCACAGAAGTCATAAAATCAAAGACAGCCATCTAATGTTTCCCACCCCTAGAGATCCTTGGCTCTTGCTATGGCAGTTTCCAGTCCTGAATCTTGGTCAATTTCTCTAAGTCTTACCTTTATAATGTCTAAAGATTAATGCCTCAGCAGGAAGAATGGCAGAGTCCAGCCCCATCATCTTTTCACATTGAGATGCACTAAATGTTTAGCAACTCCTGAGTTGATGCTCTGCTTTTCTGTTTGTTGAGAATGATATGGGGATCAACCTAGTTCTAGATACAAAGCATTATAAGCTTTTCAATGAAAGTAGCATTCAACATATACAAGGTATTATTCTATGGGTTGTCAAGACCGAGCAGAGGGAGTGAATTATTTTATGATCCCCAATCAAATGCCAGACAGGAGCTTGGAAACTTGACTTAACATACCAGCGGCTGAAGGATGTGTTCACTGATAAGCAGAAAAAGATGACATTGAGTGCTGATTATAAATATGCAAAGGGAAAATGTCTACTCGTCTTCAGTGTCACATTAAAGAATCTACTAAAATAAATTTCTAAAGTAATTTCTAATCCCAATTTCTTACTTTTAAGTAGGTTAGCAGAGCAGTGGGGAGCCAATCTACTAATTTTATGTCAATAAAGACGAGACTATGTCTTTAACCTTTTCTTGTCCCTTCAGTATCATTATTAAGGCTTTGGATCCATGTGTCCTCTATATGCCTATGAGATTATATGGTTATCATTCACTCATCCATCCACAGCATCCATCAACAGTACAATGAGCTCCTATTGTATGTCCAGCACTGGGTTAGGTTTGAATTTCAAGGAAGGAAGATAATTACCACACTGAGGGTGGGGTGCGGGATGAGGTTAAATCAAGTGTACTATGAAACTCTAGATGAGGGGCACCAAACTCTGCAGCAATGGAGATGGAACCAAGGAGTAATTCCTAGAGAATATGAGCTTAACAGTAAAGTCACAATACTTTCAAATGTACCTGTCCTCTCAAAAACTCAAACTTAATACACCCTATAATTTACAGTAGCCATCATTCCTTCCTGTGTCATGGATAGAGAAAACTGAGGCCAGAGAGGAGTATGGCAAATACTTGCCAAGGATACTGTGAAAGAGAGAACTGGGCTAGATGGTATGTCTAGTCTCATCTAAATCCAAAATTCTGTAACCCTTTTAATTGTTACAGGCAATTGTTGAGCCAAAATGGGAGAGCTAAAAATAAGTTCCTTATATTCTTAAAAAAAATTTCAATACCAAAATAAGGAGAGCTTCATTATGAAATATGGCAAATATCTAATTTGGTTTAACCTATGGCAGTAAGCCTCTGGTGGTTCCATTCTCTTTAATTTAAAAAGTTTGAATTGGCTGCCCAGTTGTAACTGATTTTCAAAATGGCAGCAATGGCCAGAGTTGTAACATGGAGAAAGAGGAGGAGGCGGGGAAAGAAGAGTGGAGAGAAAAATATGTACGTGTGCTTCCCTGGCACTTACATTTCCCAACATTATTTAAGCTATTTTATCACTGCAAGTCAGTTTTTCTTTAGAAGGTACCATGACCTAGCAGTAATTATAATATTTAAGAAAGCTCTTTAAAATGTATTTAAAAAAATACAAACATCTATCATCTCTAAAATGTTCTTTTAAAATAACTGACAATTTTATATTATTCCTCAGTCATTTCAAGTTTATTATAAAAATAACACCTCCATTAGTGCAAGTTCCTACCTCTCTTTGTCACTGTGACACATAAACATGGCAGATGACGATGCCAGGGATACAGTCATGGCACTGCCACAAATCGGCTGTGTGACCTTAGATAAGCCATTTATTTCTTGGGCCTTGGTTGGTCTCTATGCTGAATAATGGCCCCTTCCAGAGATGTCCGCATCCTAACCTCAGAACCTGTGAATATGTTACCTTACATTGTAAAATGTACTGGCCAGAAATTGTTAAGGATTTTGAGATGAGTAGATTATCCTGGATTATCTGGGCCCAATGTAATTACAATTCTTTTTAAAGAAAGAGGTGTAGGAGGGTCAGAGATACAGAGAAAATACTTAAGGTTGGAAAGAGAGGTCAGAGAGGACAGAAGATACTGGCTTTGAAGATGGAGGATGAGGACACAAGCCAACGAATGCTGGTGGTCTCTGCAAAAACTGGAATAAGTAAAGCAACAGATTTTTCCCCTAGAGCCTCCCAAAGGAACACCAGGCTCTGACACTGATTTTAACCCCATGAGACTCATTCCAGACCTACCGCCTCCAAAACTCTAAGATAATACATTTGTGCTGTTTTAAGTCACTAAGTTGAGGGTATTTGTTAGAATCATAATAGGAAATGAATACAGTCCCCTTTTGTCTTTAACAGCCTGTGAGACAATAACCTCTTTGACAATCAGGCCATCTATGATGCCCTGAGAGGCCTTCCCTGGCAGGCAGATGCATGATAAATGTAGTAACAGCTGGTGCATATTACATTTCATCTACTCCAATAAAAATTATTAACGAAATAATTCCAACCCTATAAATGGTTTGCAAGACTGCTATTACAAGGCAACATGGGTAGGCAGATGCTGCTGTGCATTGATAATAAACTTCACACTCCAAAAGGACCTCCACAAAAACATGAACAGCAAAAACTTTATGTGAACATCTGCCTTTGCTTTCATTGGGCATAGCATTCTTTACGACAGTTTCAGGGTTTTTATATGCCCACTTCACTATCGAGGCCTGGGTGTCTCGTTCTAACCACCTGCTTAGCCAATTGAAGAATAACAAAGAAACACTCTCTCTTGCTCAGCTGTGTCCCTCATTAGCTCCACTCTGGAAGGGGTATCAAAGTTTATTCACTATTAGATTACTCATTTTAAATCAGCCACAAATTAATAGTCTTTCAGAAACAAAGCCCACTTTAGAGATCATCTAATCATTAATTCATTTAGAATACATGAAACTAAGGCCTAAAAGGCAGAAAAAAGTACTCAAGTCTTCACAGCCAGGGAGATATAGGAAAGGAAAGGGTAAGACCCAATACCCAGGTCTCAAGATTCCAAGTACTACTACACCCCCACTTCTCTAATTCCCTTCCTCCCCAGCAGGCTCCATACATGAGCAGATTTTTGGATCTGGAGTTTCAGAGTTACATTGTTGTCATGGCCATTATATGTCTTTCGCTACCATTTCTTTTTGGCAAATCAAGAGTAACATTATCTACAAATTAAAAAAAAGAAAAAAAACTCTATATTTTCTTGCTTCCCTCTCCCACTCTTAATGATTTAGATGTCTTCTTTTACAATTTTGTGTTTATTCTATTTGTAATGCATGGTAGTTACCACCTTTCCAGTTATGAGTTTCTCATTTCTGTAGCATCCTGCTTCTTTTCTATTTAGAGTAGAACTTTCAATATTTCTTTTAGCAAGGTTTTAGTGTTGCTAAACTCTTAGTTTTTGCTTGTCTGTGAAATTCTTTATCTATTCTTCTTCTATTTTAAAGGATAGCCTTGCTGGGTAAAGTATCCTAGGCTGCATCCTTTTTTTCATTCAGGACTTTGATAAAATAAATTTCAAGTACAAAGTTTCAAATCAAACTTCCTTAAATGTCAATCATCCCAAATAAAGTTAGGATTAAAATAAAAAGCTGTTCAACTTTGGCTAGATAGAAAAAGGCTTCAATTTAGGCAAGAGAGAATGTGTTTGGGTCTCATCTGTAGGGTCCCACGGAGACCTAATGGGGGCGACTGCTCGTGAGGAGCTGGATTAGGCAAGTTTCAGTCCAGATGAAAGAAGTCAATGTTCTTAAATCCTTATTACGTTTTGGGACAATAATTAAGGTGTCAAAGCTACTCCAGGGACCTCAGGTGCCAAATAGACAGGAATAAGTCTATAAATGTGATGTAATCTAGGTTCTAGGGAAATGCTATGGGAGGAAGGCTGTGAAAACAGAGGTGT